ATATATATATATCATATATATATATATAGTACCAATGTACCTTTTGTTTTAGATGTAAGAGCATGCTCATATGTTAGGTATTTACATAAATTGTTACATTATTTTTCCTTGTGTAATACCTTTTTTTGTTTATGTTGTTCAAATATATTCTTTCTTAAACTCTCCTTTGTTGTTTTTAACAATTGGTAATATTTAACACTTGACTTTTTAGTGATCTTCCAATAGAACAAGTCCTAGTAATGAAAAGAAATACAACGTAACTAAATAGTACATAGACAGGCTAAACTTACGATTCCCTAGTTTTAGAATTCAGGAGTTTTGAAGAGTGCTCTTCATGTAGAATTGTGTCTACTTAATTCTTTGATGACAATACTAAAAGTAATAGTGTAGAAGACAGAGAATCTGACGTCTTTGAAAATAGCCTTTGATTGTTATTTCTCCAAATTATTGTCTCACTGTCTCCAAAATACAATACTTATATTGAAGGAAAATTGCTATTGTTTCATCCCCAAATTTAAGCTTTGAATAAGATTTGAAACTTTGAAAAGATTTTATGTCTTTTTGTCTGTAATATCTTTACTTATTTACACATGTCTGCCTGGGTGAGGCAAGTCTTAAAAACTCGTGTTTTGTTGTGTTTAACTTTATTTTTACAGTAGTAGAGAAAACTTCTTTTGGAGTTTAAATTGATCATTTCCCTTTTCTTGTGCAAAATATAACACAGCCATAGGTCAAAACCATACCATCTCTTACAGATGTGACACCTCTTACAGGGAATTGCTTTTCAAGGCCAGGCGTTCACTGATAGATGGCTTGAAGTCCAGTTAGTGGATCTCCCTTTTGGAACCTGGGTGCCAGAATTGTATCACCATTAGATAATTGATCCAGTTAGTCTGATTCAGCAGAAGGCTCTAATAATTGTATGTACTGATGTGGATTGGGGAGGAATAGCCTCTGGAGAGATCAGAATGGCCTTCCTAAATATTTGAGATGATTAATGGCCTTACTTAGAACCTGATATTGAGTGACTTGGATGTTTTTCTTAAAAAGCAAAAGACAGAAAATAAATCACCCAGCCTTAAGATTAAAAAAAAAAAAAAAAAGAAGTGGCAAGTAGAAGTCAACCATAGGAGTGGTCAGTGACCCAATGGACCATGCCTAATCCCTCCACCCTAGTTTCTTTTTAAATATTTTTTATTTATTCATACAAGAACTGGAGTACAGACCAGAGGTATGTGGGGGTAGGGGGGTGAGAATTCACCAGAGACAGAGTGGGGGGTAAGCAGATAGGTAGATTGACTGAAATATTCTGCTGTGCCAAGTGGGTCAGTTCCTTGGCCAGGGATCGAACTTGTGTTGCCAGTGGTTTCCGGTAGCTTCATAGTGCTGTGCTTAAACCCTTGCACTACCAGGGAGGCCTCCACCCTATTTTCTAACCTTCTGTAATAGCAACCAGCAATTATATAAAGTTGGGGTTTATTTAGTATCTTTCTTGGGTTCCACTTGTCCCTGTTGCTGTGATTGGCCAGAAATCTGGCAAGATAGCAGTCATGTTGTTCCTACTCTATAAACTTTTGGCATCTAGTCACTTAATTTTAACAATCATGAGACACTAAAGAGTTTTTATTATTCTGAAATTTTAACCAAATTCATAAAAAAAAAACAAAGGTGATCTGACCCTGGTGGAAGTTTTAAAAAAAAAAAAAATCTGCCATCTGTTTATAACTCAGGACAGTATGTGTATAACTCAGGACAGTATTGGAGATCTGTGAACATAGTTTCCACTTCTGTAAAATTCCTGAATGGCTAATCTGTTACTTAGGATGGTTTTAAAAGAACTGAAACTGAAAGACTAGAGTTGCTGGAACTTTGTGAAATTGATAATGGTTTTGACCTCAGAGTAGGTAAGTAGGTAAGTAGACAAGACTTGATTCTCAGTAAAAAGAGTTTCTCAGAAACTGCAAAGAGAGAGAAAGCAATCTGTAAACCATAAGGATGCTCTTCACTTACCCTGAATCTAGAAAATAATTTCAGTGGGACTGCCATAGAATACAGACTTGACATTTACTTATCTTTTATATTCTAAACCATCAACAACCTGTAGCTCTTCTGTATTCTAGGCCAAGGGATTTCTGTGGAATTCTGCAGTGAGATTTGTAGAAGACCAGCTTGAGCCCCTCTGCAGCCCAGAAAAAAGACAGAATGCTTCTTGGGTCACGTGTGTGTTAAAGCCAGCTCTGAGTCCCCTGCTGAAAGTACACTGCTGATCTAGAATGGAGTGTCACTTTACTACATAAACTGAAAATTAACTGCTGACCAAATCCCTAATCAGTCACCAACACTCATTATGAGGATCACAACAAAATGTTACAAAAGTACACTTGACAGCCTTCAAAAGTGATGTTAGTTCTTAACACAAAGTATTTCTCAGTATCATCCTGTATAGACTTAGGATGTACTTAATAATTCAAAATGGTCCTTCAAACTTGAGGCCTGCACCATGTGTTTGCACATATATGAAGCTAAGTGTGCTGTTTGCAGTAACAGTGAAAGTTCAGTACTCCTAAAGCAGTATACATTACCTTGTTCAAGCATACCAAATCTTGGAAAGATGTATTACAACTATACTCTTACCAGTTGCTTTGAACCTAGGTCAAATCCTGTATGTATTATTACATCTGTCCATTTTTTTAAATCATGTAAAGACAACAGTCAGATAATGTTCTAGTGTTCTCAGGTTGATTAAAAAATAGGAGAGTGTTAGTGCTGAGGTAGCTCACACATTGTGCCCTGAGGGCAGGTTCTGAAGCCATTATCAATCATCAGGGAAGGCCTCCTTCACATGGTATGAAAATGGGGTATAGAATGGTGGTGACTCTCCAATACAATGTTACTAGCAGTGAGAAGCACACAAAACAGGAAAACTTAACCCGGGAATATCAGTATTTATTTGGCTGGCCATATATTGGATTAATTCATCCACCAAATATTTGAGTGCTGGTGTATGCCAGGCACTGTTCCAGGACCTAGAGATACAATAAAAAAGTCAGACACGAACCTGTGCCCTCATGGTGTGATCTACTCTCAACAATCAAGTCCAGGTAGTAGTAATATAATTGACAGTTAATATAATTGAATGCATACTATGCCAGTCACTTTCCCAAGCCTCTCAACTATTTTCAATCCGGTAAGGTAGGTGGTATACAAGTTTTACAGATTAAAATACACCTTTGGATTTGCAGAGTCTGGTTCTAGAGTCTGACCCTCTTATAACCATCTATGGCTTGGATTTCTGGGTGAGAACTTTGATACCCAAGTGAGCAATGAAGACCTTTGAAGGTCTTTTGTTATTTTTTTAAAGGCTTATTTATGCATTCATGAGCTGTGGTACAGGCCAGAATGCCTGGGGCGGGGGCAGGGGAGTTGTTCACCAGAGACAGATTGGGGAGCAGAACAGGCAGATTGACTGAAATACATGC